ATTTGGATTGACTCCCCACAACACATCCTAACTATGCATTTGAAACATCTTCCCACAGCATAACCCAACCGTGCATTAGAAACATTTTCCAATGACAAATACTGGAAAGTGGAAATATTTTTTATGCACAGTTAGGATGTGCTGTGAGATGCATTCTTTGGGGAGCTAATGCAAGCATTTTTAACCCATCACATAGACTGATGCCAAAAGTACATGAATTCTACCTTATGGCTTAAAAAAAATCGGCATCACAAAAGTGGTAACGAATCAGGTGGGTTTTGATGGATCAAAAGCCTTTACGGCATCATAGATTTTTCCATATTGTGTGTTTTGAGATAGCATTCCAGGTTTATAAACAGCAGCGGCTGGCAGTGGCAGTGGCAGTGGCAGTGGTGTTAGAGGCTGGTATAAAGCCACGAGCACCTTGAAGAAGAGGTGAAGAAGGAGAGTTTTGAGATTACGGCCATGAGGCTCTTCGGCAAACACATATTTCCCCGACAAATCGTACTTGCGGCATCTGGGCAAGTGCTTCCGATTCCGACTACTGTCTTATTCTGTGCCCTTTTTATTTTCATTTCTTTAATCGATCAATCTGTTTCTTCTTCTTCTTCTTCTAATTTACAGGCTTTTCTTCTTGGCTTCGACGACCTATGACGTGCACAGATCCATCAAGAACAATCAGACACCTCCCTCAAACGAACAAGTCCAAGCCCTTGAAGATTACATCCGGTCTATTCGCCCATCACCTTAGATTTCATCTCTTTCTTCACTTTCTATGTGGTTTGAACTTTGTATTGAAAGCAAATTCTAGCTCTAGCTAAACTGAAATTGCTTTTATGAACAAATGTATGGACTGTTCTATTTGATATTTTAATATAGGATTAAGATCACTAGATTCAGAATGGTAAAAGGTTGGATGTGTTGCATCAATTATTCCTTTTTCCTTCATTTTTTATTTCTCTTCATTATAATAATAAAAATAAATAGCTTGTGTATGTGCTCTGTGCAATTCATCCAAAGCCTAGGGATTGAACCAATTATATCAAGACCCAAACTTGGTTCATCTAGTTTGATAGAAAATAAAATAAGAGAGACAGAAAACTGAAAACCTTTTATAGCCTTAATTTGTTTGCTGTGCAAATTTCTTTTGCATTAGGGTAAACCAATGCATGGGATTGCAAATAGATTGAGTGTAACTTTTGCTTTTGATTTGATTGTAAGAAGTAAAATGTGATGTGACCCCACCTTATACAAAAGGAGTTCAAATCAGCTCCCCACAACAATGTCTCACAGCACATCCCTACCGTATATTGGGAACATCTCCCGATGATAATACCAAGAATGATGAATGTCATCATTGAGAGATGTTCCCAATACATGGTGGGGATGTGCTGTGGGACATTGTGAGGGGCTGATTCGGTCTCATACAAAAGAGAGCGGGTAGGAGGATCGTTATTTGTTTAGCATTGGAATTCGAAGCCAGATGATGTGGTTCCCACTTTATATGGGAGAGACTTTAGGTAGGAGGAAGATGATGCGAATCTTGCATCAGTTTTTGAGATGCAAAATTTGCACTGTCAAAGAGTACAAATTTGAGTTCAAATAATCATTACAAACAAATGGATAACAAGTGAATGAGGTGCAAAATTTGCATCTAGTTCAGTTTTGAACTAAAAACAAACAGAGACTTACGGAGTTCCCCTCAACTTTCTATTTCTTTTTTATTTTCTATATAAACAAAAATAATACAAATTCTATTGAGCCCAAGGTTCAATTAACCAAACCATGGCCCTATATACCAACCTTATTCACTCAACTCCTCGTCAATTTTGTATCATAGGCAAAATTCAAAATACCACAAGAGTATTAGAAATGCAAATTTGAGAGATACATTCCAACTCATGGTTTACTTTCAAACAGAGTTATAAAAAGTATATATTATAAGTCACAATAAAACCCTCCTATGTCTTAATTTTCTGATTTTCTCTAATAAATTCTATCATTACTTCATTTTTAAAACACACTCTCTCCAATTAATAGTTGGTGCTTGTAATATCTCCCTTCCTCTATTAAATCAATTCTTTCCTCTTAAATGTCCTTTGACCACTTTTCACTCTTAATGTATAAGGGTATAAATTAGATAGGTTGGTTCAGTCTCAAGGCCTAATCAAACCGGCACAGTCGGATTGGTTACGGGGCCAATCGAAACCGACTACTAATAGCATAAAACCGATTTTGATTTCTTTTCGCATTAATCAATCGGTTAATCGAACAAAATACCGAAAATACTGGTCAATTATACAATCGATGGTCAGTGGAAAAGACAACGAGAGAGAGAGAGAGGATGTTACATGTTAGGGCTGACATGGTTTACAGGGGCATAACCCTCAACCAATTCATTAGTTTTTAATATTTATCAAACCGAAATCAACCAATTTTATTTGAAAACGGACCACTTTGGGTCGAGTAAATCCGATTTGGTTTATTTCATTTAATGAACAGCCCTATTAACGCAAGACCAACCCTAGACTTGGACCCTAGCAAGAGCTTGCTGATGACAAAACCCAAATTTGCCAACTTAGAATTAACCAAATTTGACATCTCACGTCAATGCTCACATGGATCTCCTCCTCTCATTTATTACACATGGTTATTTATTTTTACATGAACTTATTAAAAATGTAAGAAATCACAATAAAAACCTCTTATTTTTTTTATTTTCTATTAAAATCTATCATTACTCCTTATAATAAAATCACTCACTTACTCTCATTCTCCAATAGTCAATGTTTATAATATCTCTTGTCCTTCATTAAGTCCCTTATTTCCTCTTAAATATCTTTGAACCCATTAGTATATATTAGATAGGTTGGGTCAAGACTAACCCTAAACATGAACCTTGGCCAAGAACCACACTGATGTCAAAACCCAGATTTGCCAACCCATTGCATGGGTTTCCTTGCTAGTTATAATAAAGTGTTTTGAGTTTTTCTTTTACCAAAAAATACTAAGTGTTCGAGTTGGTAGTTTAGATCAAGGTTCAAAATATCAAAATGTACTGGTGCATATTGACCAATACAGGGAATTTGGACATCTGGCCACTTTTGAAGGACAATACCCTTCTTAGGGATGTCTTGGCTAAATTCATAAAAATTAAATACTTTTTAAAGAAAATCTATGATGCTAGAAATACATGATACTAGAAGAGTTTTGACCAATCAACCCCTGGCTGAATTTTAATAAATACCACTTGATTGGTTATTACTAAGGACTTAAATATTGACACGATACCGCTGACTTACAATGTATCCATTGAGTTGTGCGTATTGACACAATACACCTTAAAAAATTGCAATTTGCGTGATTTAAACCTAAGTTTGCTGGTGGCTTAGAGCCTTTTCTTGAGCAATCTTAAGCCACAAAGCTAGCTTATAGCTTGTGATAATAAAAGAAGTAAAATAACTTTTATGTTAACATGCTATCTAAACAAATGTCATATGTTTACGTTCAATAATTTTAATATAAAATTAAAAGGAATAATATTCAACATTAGTATTTTATAATTATTAATGGATTAAATAACCTATCAAATCCACATTTTTATAAAAATGATTTTTACTTTCAAGAATTTATACAAATAAAAGTATTAATAATAAAATAATTATTTTATTACTTAAAATTTATAAATTTGTACATGACATGTATCTTGAAATTTTTATACAACTTTATAAATTATTAATTAACATTTTAATTTACACTAAATAACAATATATTTATTATTATAAAAATAAATTTTTTTGTTTACAAAACATTCGAGAATATAATATTGTTTATAAGAAATGCAATATGAGTGAAAAATAAAATTACTTCCTTTGATGTTTGTTTCCTTTAGGTTGCATTTGGAAACAATGCAAATGGAGTGCAAATCCCAGTTCAGGGTAAATTTGCACTGACTCACTTTTGCCTGTATTTGGCAACATCACATTTATGCATTGACAAATGACAGACCAATGCATATTTACATTGATAATAAGATGTAAAAGTACATCAACAAAAAAGAAATAAATTTGTATTTAAGTGGGCTTTTGATAAAAAAAAAACATATGCTTTATTGGAATTCATATTTGCATCCATTACAATTAAAAGTCCATTGGAAAGAAGGTAAATTTATCAGTGCAAAACTAACTCAAATTTGCAATTTATATGAACCGTTTTACACTGTACATATTTGCATTCACACTTATTTGCATTGTTTCCAAATACATCCTTAAGAATTATTAAGACATCAATTTCGGTTTGATTAAGAAATTCCTTGTTTTCACTGACACGTGGCATGATTGGAATGGAACAGATTCCACCTATATTGGCATGTATCGATATCAGTCAATACAGACCAGATACGGGCCGATACTATGAACATATAGGACCGACCATGGAATTTTTAAATCTGTTTCAATTTAAAATTTGCCTATCATTAAATGCTATTTTCTCATTAACCCCTATGAACTCTAAATGGTTTAGTGCTAAATTTACTTGGAGATGAGTCGATCTCTAAAACTTAAAATGGAACTTTTAGAATTCAAAGGTGCATTTAGATGTTTAACCGAACAACCACTAGCCTTAGAAATGCAGCAAGTTTTAGAGTTCAGAGTTCGCGGTTGCTAATAAACTATTAAAAACAATAACGCGACGACAAATGTCGTACCTGGGTTCTAAATATTGACACGGGCCGATAAGTACCAGCATATCGGTCTGTGTCAGTTCTTTTTTTTTTTTTTAATGTTTTACTTATTTTTTTCGAATCGGTTCAGAGGCACCGGTTTAAGGCTCCGGCTGCCCTCTGAACCAGTGGCTGACCCGATACAACCCTGTAGGGGCATATCGGGAAGCCACCAACATGATACATATCGGCCGATACATCCGGCTGCCTTAATGCTCTCGATGCATTTTGGAGAGAAATTTCATAACTTTCGATTTTGAATTTTTTACAACATTTCTCATTTATGCTAACAAGGGGGAAGGAGACACTCTTCATTAAGCTAATTGTAGAAGTTACAAGTTCCTATTATCTTATACATCTTTATCATGTTTCAGTCTTTCTCAAAAGTTCTTCACCATATCACCTATGCCTTCGACTGCAAAAGCACATAAAATCCTATGATATTTACACAAAAAAGCAAAACAAAATTATGCTTACAAACACTATAACAACAGATTTTGTGAACATATAGATGCTGCTAATTTTACAACTACATAGATTTGGTACAATGAACCAGATAACCAAGAATTTACACATCAAGACTTCCATCATTGCCTTTGGTATCATCACTGCCTCTGTCATCTAAACTATCATCATAATCATTAACATTCCTTAACTTTGCACTTGCATTAAGTGAATCACTGGGTACTGCCACATCCATCCAACCAAGATCCTCCCCCTCGAGGACTCCAGGATTGTCAACCCAATCTCCTGCATCAATACCCATCCCCTCCAAGCATATGGGATCATAAGCTCCTCTTGCCATTGGTTTATTTAGTTTTGATTGCCTGGTCAAATTCAGAAACAGATCTTAAGTTCATAAGCTGTTAATCCACAAGGTATTACTTTCAAGGAAATAGACCGTCTCTTGCCACTGTTTCAAGGGTAGGATGGAAAATCATCCTCCCTGCCTCTCTCTATCAACTGCATGTTAACATATGCAGCCATGCAGGGATGTTGGTTCAATCTCGCTCTAATGAAAAAGAAAAGAAAATGATTCATATGCAAAATTTTAGAAAAAGAAAAATATGATCTATAAACAGTTCTGGCCCCCTTTTTTGCTTCTTTTTTCTCCAGTCCAAAAGAATATGGAAGATAGATGGTTGGGATCACCAAAAGCCTCATTGTGGACTAGGATATTTACTTTGCAGTTCTGTTGAATGACTGGTTCACAGGTATATACAAGGAAGATGCAGAGAGGGCAGCTTCTTTGCATACGATTAACCTGATGGATTTACTGTAGGAAAAAGGGAGGGGGAGAGAAAATGTTACCTCTCCTGAAGGCGCAGGTTATAGTGAACAAATATAAGGTCATTCAACCTCTCATGCTCCAACCGGTTTCTCTTCTTTGAATGGATACGCTCAAACATGCTCCAATTCCGCTCACATCGGGTCCCACTGCATGTTTGACTTGAAATTCTAATAGCAAAGCGTTGCAGATCTGGATAGTCTGCTGCATATAGAGACCACCATGTAGCTGTAGAGTAAGACAATAAGCATTAATTATCATACAAACATGCAATAAGAATGAACAATTTGGAAAATACTAGATAAAATGGTGCTGACCTGGGGCCAAGGATTCACGACCCCTTACTGCCACAGGTCGACTGAAATCCCCAACAGCATCCTCATAGAAAGTAATGTGTCTCGTAATCATTTCTTGTGCAGTTAGGTTAGGTTCTAAAGTCTCAATGCAATCAAGTAGGCCCTTTTGGATCACTTTATTGGTGGAGAAGCTAGGGTTATAAAATATAGATGGATTAAGATAGTAAGCAGCCGCATGAAGAGGACTATGGAGTTCCTCTTCCCAGATTTGATCAATTATTTTCAGGTATGGATAGTATTCAGATTCTTTGTTGTTGAATGCCACAATAATGCCTTTCCTTGCCTTTTCCATTGCATCGTATATGTAACCCATGGAAGGCCTTTCTTCAGTATCAATGAGGTGCAAGACAGTAAGTAGGGGTTTAGTAACCTTCAAAATTTCAGCACAGAGGGACCAGAATGAAGGGTCCACAACAGTTTCCGCCACTTCAATCCCTGCCCTTTGCTTAGAGAAAGCCGATTGCATCCAACTGGTACTGGTAAACATTTCATGGAGAGGGTCTTTCAAAGACACAATGCTTTGCAGTGCTAAGAAGTTAGTTGCAAATCTTGTAATGGCAGGCCTAACAATATCTCTTCCACCAGTTTTTTTCCTCATTAAATTGAGGACCCATGCATGGTTATATATGAACTGACTTATTCTTTTTGCCCTTGCCAAAACTTCTTTTACCTGGTCCATTTTTCCAAATTCCTCAAGCATTAGATCAATACAGTGTGCTGCACAGGCACTCCAGAAAAATGTCTTGTATTTGTTCATCAATGCTTTTCCTGCAGCTTTATAATTTGGTGTAGTATCCGTAACAAAATGTACAATATTCTTGGGTCCCACGTCTTGAACAATGCTGTCAAATAGATCCAGAAGTGCCTCTGAAGATTTTGTAGTTTCTGTTGCATCAACAGATCTTAGGAACATGGTACCCTTGGGACAATAAGCAAAAAAATTTAGAACCGTACGATCAGTTCTATCTGTCCATCTGTCAACCAAGACAGAGCACCCAGTCACTTCCCATGACCTTTTTAGTTCTTGGCATAGTTCTCCTGTCTCTTGGACAGTTTTGTTCAGCAGCTTACCTCTCAAAGAATGATAAGATGGCATTTTATATCCAGGGCCTACTGCAGCAATTGCATCTGCCATCAATTGGAAGTAGAATGAATTTGCTGCGCTGAATGGTATCCCAGCATCATACATGAATTTTGCAACGGCCATGTCTGCTTGGTCCATGCTTTCCTGTGAAGCAAAATTCAGGTGCATAAGAGGTTGAGCAGGTGCAGTAGTAGGAGTTAATTGCTTCTTGTGCCTTTTTCTTCTACCAGAAGTCCCCTCCTCACCCTCTTTTCCCCTTTTCCTGCCAATACTTCCTCGTGCAGAAGTTCCCTTAGGGCTCCTCTGGCCTTCATCATAATTTCCTTCCTCCCTATCATGAATATAGGAGATCAAGGGTGTCTTGATAGTTTGTGATTCTTTTTGCCTCTTTAGCTTTTCCAAGACCTTAAAACCTAAATGCTGCTGCATTTGAGCTTTAACGTCATCGGGAACTTTCTCACAGGGAGCTATATTTCCCCTTTCCCCGGCTAAATGTTGCTTCAGTCTAGAAATTCCACCCCCAAGGATAACCTTATGGCAATATCTGCATTTAATCTTTTGTCGATCCCCATTTACCATCATTCCATGGGCCCAGCCAAGATCAGTAGCTCTGGGAGGTGCCAATCCCTTTAATGAATTGAAAATTGAAAGAGAAAGTACAAAGTACATATGTGAGAAATAATAGAAATTATGCATATTAGAAGGATAACTATATAAGAGAAACAATTGAATGAAGTAAACACCGGATGATAATAATAAATGCACTTATGATATTTACGCACTTGGTCTTCCTTTACTGTAGAAAACGCATCAAAGAACTCCCGTGTCCCCACCATTTGTTGATGTTCTGATCAAGGACCAACAAACAAATAACAGAAAATCAGATGAAAAACAAACTTCGCAAAAATTTCCTGTTTTTGCAATTAGTTGAAGAACAAATTTCATTAATGATTTAAAATTCCTCTTCTCAAATATACTATTTTAATGGAAGAAGATACTTCTTCATGGCGTAAAAGGAAAGTGAAAAATCATGTGGAAGGCAGTTAGGGCAGCAGTGGAATGGACTGTTTGGGATGAAAGGAACCGGAGGATCTTCAGCAAGAAAAGAAAATCCAAAGAAGAACTCATGGACAACATAGAAGTCAAAGTGGTACATTGGATAAAAACATTGGAGGCCATTCAAATATTTTTGGTGGATGATGTTGATGAAAGCTCTTTGGGCAATCTGGACCCAGCAGGAATTGTGAATGTATTTAGAGCAATGTTTTAAAAGGTGTGGGAGGTGTACGCCTGGAGGCGCTCCCAAAACGCCCTGAGGCGTATGCTAGAGGCGCTGACACCTCTGAGGCGTACGCCTCTTGCGCTTTTTTCATGAGGCATGCTAGAGGTGTACGCCTTATGCGCTTCATGCACATCTTATATAAAAAGACAGAAAAAAAGAAAAAAAAAAGGAAAAGAAAGGGAAGGGAAAGAAAAAGAAAGAGAAGAAAAAAAGAGAAAAGGAAAGAAAATAAAAGGGAAGAAAAGATAAGGGGAAAGAAAGTGGTTTGCCCCATTCCCCTTCGGCTGGGAGCTCGCTTTGCTCGCTCGCCTCCGCTTTGACAAGACCCCCCCCCCTTTCAACTA